TGCCCTCTAAATGCTGCTTGGCTTTTTAAGACTTTTGTTATTAGTTTTTAATTTTTGGTAGTGCTGGGCATGAAACCCAGAGTTCCATGCATGCTAGGGAAGTGCTCTGCCACCGAGCCCCAGCCCTAGCCCTGGCAGTGACTTCGAACACAGCAGGTATGGTAGCTGGGTGTCTTCTCACCAGCTGGCCTTAGACAAGTCCTATGACCAGAATAATTGAGATGCAAACAGGGCCCAGGGGTGGATTTGTAGTTTTTGGGGGGTTTTTAAGGAGAAGAAATGTTTGTTCTGAATGAAATTGTAGAAGGAACCTCACCAGACCAAACAGCCACTGTGGAGGGCAGTGGTAAAGCCCTTGGCCCCTGGGAACTGGGCTCTGAGGCGCTGCATGGGTAGGACAGTGGGGTGGTGACAATTGTTGCAGAGGTCTCTTAGTCTAGGGCTCAGGAAGTGAGAGCTTCCTTTGCCCCAGCACAACCTCCCAAGAGGGTCTTCCCACCAGGATCCTGGCTGCGAAGGAACCTGGAAGGAGTCGAGGGGTGGGGGCTGGGTCACCAGAAGGGTGGCCACACCCTGATCCACATCCACTGGCCCTTCCTGAACTCCCCTCTCAGTCTAAAGAGGACCTCAGTATATGCAACCCGAACCAGGCCTGGGAGCTCTGGGGCAGCCGTGGGGTGGGGCAGACGCTATCTTTGTCCTTCCTTCAAGGCTCAGCTCGCTTCTTGGCAGCCTCTGGGGTTCACTGCAGTGGGGGGGCGGGGGTGTGCCGAGAGTGGACATTGGACGTGCTGCAGAGCCCCGTGGATACAGTGGCCCAATGGAAGAGGGCAGGCCTGGCCATTCCCCAACTGCATTCCAGGAGAGCTCTTGGGGTCTGTTTTCTTTGACTCTTGACAGCTTAGTCCACTTCCAAGCCCTTCCTGGGTGGGAGACGGGGACCACAGCATTTCATCTGGGCTTCTGGAGCCTGAGATAGCACAGTCAGGAGTGGGCAGGTGGGAGCTTTTTTTTTCTTTTTTTGTACTGGGAATTGAACCCAGGGGGGCACTTTACCATGGAGTTGCCCTCTCGGTCCTATTTATTTATTTATTACTAAGGATTTAACTCATGAGTGTTTTACCACTGAGCTATACCCTCCAGCTTTTCAAATTATTATTTGGGTATTGGGGAGTGAACCCAGGGGTGCTTAACCACAGGGCCACATCCCCTGCCCTTTTTATGTTTTGAGACAGGGGCTCACTGAGTGCTTAGGGCCTATCAAGTTGCTGAGGCTGGCCTTAAACTCGCGAGCCTCCTGCCTCAGCCTCTGTAAAAGGAACTTTCAATGGGAAACAGTAAAAAACAGCGTGGAGCTGGAGAGAACTGTCTGAACCTGCTGTCGAAGCTGAATGTCTTGGGCTCTTCTGCTGTGAAGGGGGAAGGCAGCCCTCCCTGGATTCTGAAGGCTTAGGAGAACCTAGGTCATGGTGAACCTACACAGGAGGTGACTGAGTGACGCAGGAGGTCTAGCAAGCCTGGGGCACTTTGACTCAGAGCTGGGACAGAGGGGGTATAGCGGCTGGGCCCCAGACACATCCTCAACCCTCCAGATAAACACCTGTTTACTCTGTCCGGGGCCTTGTTCACCTGGAGCAGTCTCTCCCTGCTACACCTCCAGTCTGCACCCTCCTGGAGCACAGTCACTGCCGATTTGTCACCCTTTCCTTTGCTGGTACAAACAGGCCTTCTATCTGTGACATCAGCTGGCCCTTCTGGCCCCACCCAAAGCTGTGTGGAGTGTCACTGTGTCTGATTGGTCTGTCTTGAGCTGCCCTCCCTGTCTTTAAACAGCCCTCAGGGTGAGCGTGGAGCCGGGCTGGAGCCGGAGCCCAGAAACCCCTGTTTACCGAACCCCTCCAGGTGCCAAGGGCCCCAAGGGCGCCCACTGTCTGTCTCTGAGGTGGAGCCAGCATGAAGTGATGCTGTGAAGGTGGCGCGCAGAGGTGCCCACCTGGCCCAGGTGGCCTGGCTTTGCCGACGGTGTTAGCCCCACCAGAATAAGCTCCCCAAGCTCAGCCCCCCCAACAGGGAAACCGGCCTCAGCTCCTCCCCAAGCCCCTTTCCCTACTCCCGTCTGCAGGACCCTGTTAACAGGAGGCGGCATTTTCTATAGTTAGTGGACTGGGCAGCGGTGGCCCTCTCGCCCTGGCAGGCTGCCCAACCTGTCCCTGCCGGAGTCTTGGTCCCCCAAATGCTCTGCAAGTGGCCCCTGGGTCCCGAGTGGGAGGAGTCTGGGGCTCTTGGCCCTGGAAGAGACAACTGAGCACCAGGAGCCAGCGCCGGAGAATGAAAACTTTCTTTAATGCAAGGAAAACAGTCTCCAGTCTGACACGTGCCCCCAGGTGAGTGTGAACAGGTGCCCTTACCCAGGGAATGCCAGCGGGGCGGTGGGGACGCACCTCACCCAGCCTCACCCGACACCATACAGGAGGAAAGGCAGGCCGGGGCAGTGGGGGACAGGCCAGCAGCAGCACTACAGAGGGCAAGCGGCTCCCTGAAGCCCACCTGAGCACGGGAGGCTGCTCCACCTGCCCTGGCCAGTGAGAGCATCCAGGTCCCCAGGTCCCCAAGGCGGCACAGAGTAAAGTGGCTGCACTGGCTGCCTGCTGGCTCTGGTTTTATTGCTCATTGTGGGGCTGTGGGGTCCATCTGAGGAGATCCAGGTCCTGTGTGCCCCCCTTTGCTCAGGGGGAGGGGGAAGGTAGGAAAGGGAGAGGAAAACGGGGTGAAGGAGCTGAGTTTTCCCCTGGTCCCTGCTGCCTGGACAGGAGGCCAGAGCCGCAGGCTTCCTTTCACAGCCCCAAACCACACCAGGTCCCAGGGATCCTCCACTCACCTGAAGAAGAGTGCCAGGAGGCTCCAGCAGGCAGAGAGCGAGCCAGGGCCACAGTTCAGACACCTCTGGGCCAGCCGCCCCTCCTGGGCCACTGAAAGGTGGCTCTGACCTACTCCACACCCCTAATGGCTCTTGGGTGAAGCTGCCCCAAAGCTGGACTGTAGGCAAGAGAGACAAAAGTCCCAGGTTTGAACTAGTTATGTGGAAGTTTCTTGAAAATCTGGTCAAGTATGAAAGGTGTCCCTTTATAGAACAAGACCTAGCTCACGTGTTCCTCCTGGAAGGCGCTCACTCCTCCCTGCAGCCCCCTAAAACAACAGAGGCCAGCGGCTGGGCTTTGCACCTGTGGCCGCCACACTGTAGGGCTGGTGGATTGGGGGTGTGAGGGGCAGGGGTGGGGCCTGGGCACCGGGAGCCCAGGCTGTCCAGGCCGGGCGGGGAGACACTAGACTGGCTCACCCCAGGAGCACGGGCTTGGGGCAGAGCCGCTGCTCGAGGCCATCCCCAGTCTGGAAACACAGGGAACTGGGGCTCCTGTCTATTCGGCGGCCCCTGGTGGCAGCTGCCAGACCATGAGCTGAGGCGGGCCAGGCGGCCCAGCACCCTGGGGTCAGCTGCCATGGCGGCTAGCCAGGGCAAGAGTAAAGGCCGGGACGGAAGAGAGGGTGTGTGTGCATGGGCTGTCGGACAGAGGAGGAGGCAAGAAAGAAGGCTGCCTCTAACGTTATATATTAAAAATATCCATAGTTCTTGTGCACAAAATTCCATCATTCACATCCGAGCGTCACCCGCCTCCCCCAACGGGCCCAGGAACAGCCTTAAAGAAAGATGGTGGTCTTCCTGTTTGAGAACTGAGGAAACACCGCTCAGTCTTTATGGACCTTGAAAGGTGGTGACCCTTCCCCTCCCCCAATCTCTGCCTCCCAGGCCCCGCCCACCTGGGCAGGCACAGAGGGTGGGCAGGACATCCGGGTGGCCCTGCATGGCCGGGGCGGTCACTCATGCCTGCGCTTGGAGGGCGGGACGAGGTGCGGGGGCAGGTCGGCGGGCAGCTCGTGGCCCTCCAGCTTGACCTTGATGAGGTGGTTGGCCAGGGCGAACTCCTCGTCGTCCAGCAGCCCGTCCTTGTCCACGTCGGCCAGCTTCCAGATCTTCCCCAGCACCGTGTTGGGCAGCTTGGACTTCACCATCTCCTTCTTGGCGTTGGCTCCTGTGATCTTGCCATTGACAGGTGACAGTGTGTAGAAGATCTCATCGTAGGTGGGCTTGTCCTTGCCCACTACCCACTCAACGTCATCGATGCCCTCACCGGCCCCCTCGCCATAGCCGTGCCCAAACGGCCCGTTCATGGTGCCATCGAAGGCGCCGCCCTTCACGGCCTGGGAGGGCATCAGGGACTCTTCCTGGCGCACCATCACCATCAGTCGAGCGATGTCGTTGGCAAGCATGTCGTCCACTGTGTCCAGCAGCTTGGGCTTCAAGGCCTGGAACTTGCTGAAGTCCTGGGTCTGCAGTAGTTCCTAGGGTGGAGGAGAAAGGAGAGGGCTGGGTCGGGCAGCGGCCCTGGCTTCACAAGGACAGACCAGGTTTGGGGGCTGGGGTGTAGCTCAGGGTAGAGCGCTTGCTTGGCGCGTGTGAAGCCCTGGGTTCTGAACCCAGAACCGCAAAAACAAAACAAATACAAAGGAGGCAGCCAGTTCCTCGCTGACCGTCCAGCGCTGTGAGCCCGGCTCAGCAGCACCCTCCAGGAGTCAGACAGGATGCTCAAGGTCCCCACCCCCTGCTGAGTCACCACATTCCCCTCCTTGGTGTCACAACCTGGGTCAACCCTGACTTGGGTGGGGTGCAGGTGACTAACCCAGCTGCGTCCCTCTGGGGAAGCACTACCCCCTGCAGCCAGGATTCCCTCCAGAGCCAGCACCCTATGCCCTGGCCTTTCTCAGGGCGGCCATACCTGCATCTTGCGGAGGCTCGGGAAGTCTCCGGGGGAGATCTGATGCTCCCGCTCAATCTTCTGGTAGATCTCACCCAGGTTGTTCACCAGTTCCTTCTTCTTGCTCTCTTTACCAAAGACGTTGGGCATCTCCTTCTTGAGGGAGCTGATGATGTAGGCATGGACCTGGGTGGGCAGAAGGGCTGGGCGTCAGGGGCTTGCTTGGCATGTGCCCTGGCCGCCCAAGGGCCTTCAGGAATGCAGCCAGGTGCCCGCTGCTCACTGCCTGGGGGCAGGAAGGCAGAGGGGCCGGGGTCACACTCAAAGCTGCTGTTCCACCATATGATTCCTGGGTCTAGGGATCGACACATTTTGGCAAGAGGTACAACCCCTCCCTGCCATGGGGACAGAGGAAAGGTGTGTGCACCTGCAACAGAAGGCAGATGACGTCCTGCACAAGTCATGATGACAAGTGTTGCCTGTCAACAAGAGAAGGCCACCAGCTGAGCACTGAGAGGCGCCAGAGGCACTGCACCCCCTCCCCTGAACCTCGGGCTAGGAGAACTCAGTCTCTTCCAGTGAGCTCAGAGCGCCTGGAAGCCTGGCCCAGGAGCAAGGTGCTCAAGGTGCTGGGGGCAGAAGTGGGCATGTAATGGGGCAGCGGAGGGTGTCCCAGAGCCCCGTTCTGCCTGTTTCTCTTTGGCCTCAGCTGCCAAGGCAGGGGAGGCGAGCACTCCCTGCACAGCCAGGCAGTGGGGTGGAGTGGGTGTCCCTGCCTACAGCCTCAAATCTGTGCTGTGCTCAGGCGTTCCCAAGCTCCAATGCAGTCCCAGCTCTGCTCTGCGCACCACCAGTCTCGGGATGACTGAGGACTGGAAGGACCCACGAAGGCTTTCTCCAGCTGCTGCGAGGTTCTGCTCAGCTTCAAGCCTTGCTTACACATTTCCCAATTAAGGGCGGCCACCTTTCATCTGCCGCCTGCTCCAGGCTGGTTGCACTGGTGCCCCCACCAAGAGCAGCTCAGCCCTCAAATCGCTCAGCCCTGCCAAGTGACGTCCAGTCACAGAGGGCTGCTGCTGGCGGCCTCTCCCCTCCGGTGGCCATTCCAGCCCATCCAGTGCACCCCACTCAGTCCCAGTGGCAGCTCCCCCAGCTGTGGGGCTGGCATCTGGGATCTCCCAGGGATGCTGTAGCAGGTGGGTCACAGCCACAGACACCACCCTCCCAGCATAGGCTAGTGCTAGTACCCAGGAAAAGGAAGCAGCCACAAAACAGCAGCTGTGGGACAAAACTAGAGACCCCGGGGCTTTCCAGGCATATGACTAGACAGTTACAAGCCATCTCTGACGGCAGGGAGTCCGGCCTGCCCTGTTCTGCCTCTCGCCGATGGAGGCTGAGCAGGCCGAGGTTAGGGCCGCTCTCTGCAGCCTGGGGGAGAGCAGGGTCAGGGCCGCCCCTCAGCTCAGGCTCTTCTTGGTCCTTTGAGACCATAGGCTCCCATCTCAGAGCCAGCTCTGCTCACAGGGAGTCCTGGGTATCTAGAAAAATGAAGAGCCCTGTACCCTCCCCAGAGCAAGTTTCTGACAAGTGCTCATCGGGGACACCAATTCCGAGCTGAGCATGGTGGCCTCACTTAGAATCCCAGCAATTGGGGAGGCTGAAGCAAGAGGACTGAAAGTTCGAGGCCAGCCTGGGCAACCTGGTGAGACCTTGTCTCAGAAAAAAAAATATAAAAAGGTCTGGATATGTAGCTCAGTGGCAGAGGGCTCCTGGATTCAACCCTCAGTGTTACAAAAATAAAAAATAAAAATCAGACATCCTAGAGTGCCACCTTCTGCTCTGTGCTTGAAGGATTCACCGGCGTGCTGACGGGGTTTCCTGGCCTCCGCTACCCCAGACTCTCACTCAAGCACTTGGCCAGGCACCCAGATCCCAAAAGCTCAAGTGACACAGATGTTGTGTCAGGTGCAACGGGCTCTGAGCTCCTCTGGAGGGTCAGGATGGTTTGCAGGACCTTCGTAGCCGCTGCCGCCTCCTGGGGTGTGGCCTTGTGCACCGGTGCTCTCTCTGGGCTGAGGGCCAGGGCTATCTCTTCACTAGCTACCTCTTGTCTCCTGGACCGCAGCTCCCACCTCAGGCCACCCCATGGCCCTCTGTCCCCTGGGATGGCTCCCAGCTGTGGCCACGCAGCCCCCAGCCTACCTGTAACAGCACAGATGCTTGATGCTTGTTTTCATTTGTGCCTTGTTTTCCTTACAAGGCCACCAAGGGCTGGCCCGGGGCTGGGTGCCGTCCCTACTACACCCCCAGGACCACCACCAGGCCGCGCACTTTAATGCATAACGAAGCCTGAGGGGCAGCTGTGGAGGCCTGAGCTGCGTACAGCACACTGCATTTCCGGGGCACCTCCTTTCTTCTGTGGTAACTTCCTGTTTCCATGTTGAACACACATTCAGACTTTGACACAGGGAGGCACAACCCTGGGCTACACCACAGGGCCACAGAGCAGTGGCTTGTGACACAGAAAGAGCAACACTGGTCTGGCTCTGCAGACAGCTGGGCTGCGTCTCAGGCAAACCTCCAGCCCCAGAGCCCCGGGCCCCTTGGGCCCCATCTGATGCTGTGCCCAGCCCCTTGCCCCAGGGTCTACCTTGGCCAGCCTGGCCCGCTTGATCAGGTCATTGAGCTTCCTGAGGGCAGCGTTTCGGGGCAGAGACTGGATGTCTTTGAAGAGGTCCTGCTCCTCGGCCTCGAAGAGCTTTCGGTTGTCGGGGATGAGCAGCGGGTGGGACCAGAAAGAACCAATGTAGACGCGGACCACCTCGGGGGTGTTGATGATCTTGCCCAGGGACCACATGAGGGCCCCGTACACCCGCATCAGCTGCTGCGTCTCGATCTGGTCGGCCTTGTTCAGCACCACGCGGATCTTGTCCTCGTGGTTCTTGAGTGCCTTGATGACCTCAGAGAACTCGTCGGAGATGTCCAGCTTGTGGGCATCGAAGAGCAGGATGATGCGGTCCACCCGCTCGGCGAACCACTCCAGGACCGCAGCGAAGTCATAACCTGGGGGAAAGAGGGGTGAGGTCGGGGAGCCAAGGGCCCAGGCCGCCCTGTTGGCTCTTGGCCCTAACTTGGCATGGAACTGCCATACCCGGGGGTGCTCTTCAAGTCCGCGGAATGCAGGTATCTGAGCAGCAGCGCTGCCCAGGACAGTCTCCCCTACTTTGGCGCCACACGGCCATACTCTTCTTACACGTGGCACCTGGCGTGGATAGGTGCTCGCGCACAGAAGCCACCCAGCCTGTTCTAAAGTGGGTCACGTGAGGGCAAGATGACCCCAGCAATGTGGCTTCGCACAGTAGGGCAGGAGAGATGGACCTAGGTGCTGCCGCCTGCCAACTGTGTGCCCACCAGCAGCGTCTGCAGTCTAGTGGCCACCTGTTCAGTGCTTACGTGCCAGGCTCCCTATTTTGCAAGAATCTCTCTTATTTTCTACAACAGGGGCTGGCAAACTATAGCTCAGAGACGACACAAGCTCCTTCCCCGCTGTGTAAACAGCCACACTCATCTGTGTCCAGGGCTGCTTTTGTCCACAGCAGCAGAGCTCGGTTGTGGCAGAAATCGTGAAGTCTGCAGAGCTGGGAACACTGACTTTCTGACCCTTCCAGAAAGTTTGCTGACCTCTGCTCTACATCGAGCCCGTGGGGTGCTGCAAACCACTTCCCTTTGTAGGTGTCAAATACTTCTCCCCCACCCCCACCCCCACGGCACAGGGCCGGAACCCAGGGCCTCACACACACTCGGCAAGTGCTCTGCCTCTGAGCTGCACTGCAGCCCTCTGAAGCATGTCTCTGTGACCAAGTGACTCTCCCAGACCAGCTCCAGCACTGAACCCTATTTTATGCTGTTTCTCACCAACCAATTAAGGTCCAATCAAACTCAACCAATTAAAATGACTTGTGCCATCTGACAGGCTAACTGGAATTCTGCCACTTACAACAAAACTCTCTATTTTAAGTTGGATTCATGGCTTCCAGGTTAAGCCTGCATTTTCCATCCTTTGTTGCAACAGAAATAAGAAAAGGTGTAAGAGCCCTTTTGGTTTTCTCCCTGGGAACTGGGATACAGCTGTAATGGTAGGAGCAGAGTAGACACTTGAGTTCAAAGATGGAAGCGGTGTGTTCCCGGTGGCTGGGACTATTATTTTTCACATAAACTCCTGGGTATCTGACTCGGGCCATTCTGGAGTCTCCGCAATAGTGTTTTTAACTAGTATCTTATCTGACAACTATGGCTCTTCAAAATCTTTCCACTGCTTCCACTGATCCCAGAAGTGAAAATTCTGCTTCTCGCCTTTTAGGAACACTATGAGAAAGGCGGGTTGTGTATGGCAGCAGCCTAGAGTCCCCGGGGAATCTGGCATAGCCCACAAGGTGCCGGTCCTTCTCCTTGTTTTGCACCTGTGCCCAAGCCACTACAGACGCAGGCCAGCCCTCTAAGAACCACAAAGCACTTCCCAGAGAGCAGTCACCAACTCCTGAAAGAAACCAGAGAAGCCCTTCCCGCAGATGCTCTACAGGAGGGGCATGCCTGGGGCCCGCCCAGACAGCCTGCACCTGGCATCCCCCGTGAAGACCACATGGTGCCCCCAACCACTAGCTGACATGCATTCTGCAGACAAGACGGACAGAAAGATGGCAGGGGGAGGGGAGCTCACAAAAAAGGACAGCCGTCCAAGGAATGTGGATGTGGCCCTCTCAGGCCTGCTCAGTGCTGCATGGCAGCCAGGCGGGCAGCTCAGGCCTTGGTGCCGTTTGTGTTCCCCATCCTGCCAGGCCCTCCCAGTCCTCCCAGGCTGGAGGCAAGTCCCCAGCCCGGCTGCTGGAGAGACTGTGGGTCCCAAGGCCCTTAGGCTACAGGGTTGCCACCGCGAGGCTGCCAGGGTGCGATTCTGCTCCCTAAGACAACAATGTTCATGTTGCCAGGCCCCAGGTCAAGTGCGCTTTAAGGGTTGCTGTGCCTCTCCCAATGCTGGGACAGCCAGAAAGAGCAGTCTCTGAAATAAGGTAGTTCTGGACTCAGCTCCTGGCTCTAGCCACTGACTGGTGACTTCACTTCTGAGTTTTACTGTATCTGCATGATTTCTCTCTAGGTCCTACAGGCAGGATTAAATGAGGTAATGGGAGGGCCCCCCCACAGGGACCTAGCAGGAAATGGAACAACTGGGGGAGGGGGCGTGGAGTTCCCTGGGAACAAGGGACTGAGGGGCCTGGAATTCCATCACTGGTCAGGAACTTAGAGCTACCAGTGTTTGGCCTGACTTGGAGGTCAGAGGCCAGACTCCTTGAGGCAAGTCACCAAAATGTAAAAATCCCAGATCCACCGCTTTAGTGACAGCATGGTTGGGGGGGGGCGGCTCCTCAGAGCTTTGATTTGCAACTCTTTGCTGCTAAAGCACCACAGGGACACGGCATGCTGACCAGAGGACAGGGACATGGCATGCTGACCAGAAGGCAACTCTTCCCCAGGCAGAGGTGTGCAGTAGCTGGGGCTGGGCTTCTGACTGGGCAGGGGAACCCGATCTGCTTCCCGGGGGCTCCAGCCAACAATAGCCAGGGCAGCAGAGTGTCCAGGTTCAACGTGCCCAGGTGTGGGAGCGCACTGAGCAAGTGCCAGGACACTACATGCCAGCTGACAGCCACCACAGGCTGCCAGTTCCAAAGTACAAGGCTGCAGGGACACCCCAGTCCCAGAGCAGGGAGCAGACACTCAGGGAATGAAAAGTCAGCAGAAGTTGGAGGGGATGGTGCTGCCCCAGGCCTCAGGCCACGCCCCGGCTGACCCATGGGGCCACTTTTTGAGGAGTAGCTTTAGGAACACAGGCCAGCACTGAAAAACCAAGTCTCAGGAAATAATGGAGGCCTCTCACTCAGCAAAAGTGAGCCCGACTTCTCCCTCGTCACACTGTGTCCTCACCCCACCACAAGTGGGAACTAGAGTCCACACAGCTGGGGACGCAGCGATGCCAAAACCAAGTTCCTGGGAACAGGGGCGCCCCGATGGGCTGTGCTCAGCCGCGTTGGGTTTGGCTTGGCAGTCAGGACGGTGCCTGGGGAGCTGAGCTCACCCTCCCAAGTCCCACCCAGTTTGGCTTCCCATCCCTACCTCTCCTCCACGGGGAACAAAAGCGGAGAAGGCCGAGTCTGAATCCCAGCCCGACCCTGCCCCCACCCGGCCCACAAGCCCAGCTCCTGGCCAGCACCTAGGCAGGAGTCAAAAATGGAGCTAAGGCAATATTTTCACAGGTGAATAAAATTTCCTGTTTATTATGGAAAATGCTCACACTTTTGGTGGGAGGGAGCCACAGCGGCTGGCCAAGTACATCCACAGGTCACCTAAAAGGTCACAGCACTCATGCCTGCACCATGTCATCAAGGGCGTGTGACCACATGTCTGGACATCACCACCAGGCCCACCTGGAGCTTCTTGGCCCACCGTCCCTCACTGCCCTCAGAGGCACCTCTGTGGCTTGAGACACGGTTTCCAGAGGCACGGAGGGCCACACCACACAGCAGCGCCACCAAGTGCCTGGGGTCCCCAACAAGGGGCAAGAACAGCAGCAGAACCCTCCATTCAGGTTGGTGGTGGGTGACAAGAACAGAAACACCCACCCGTCAGGCCACCAGCAACACCAGCATGTGCACAGAACGAGCCTGCAGGCTCTGGGGCCAGCAGAGGTTGGCTTGGGTGTCCCCAGGCCCGGATGCAGGGGTGGAGGTGAGGTTTGTCCAGTTCAGGCCCAGGTGGGAGTGACAGAGCTGACACAGAAAACTCGGCCCTTGGGGTGGGCTAGAGAGAAAAGTCAACCTGCCCAGTGGGGATTTAGTGAGTAAAAGCCAGTGTCACCTCTGCTAAGGGACATGAGCCCC